ATTAAAAAATGGGATACTGAACTTAACAGAGAATTCACAACAGATGAACTTCAAATGGCCAGAAGACACTTAAGGTCATGCTCAACCTCCTTAGCGATCAGGGAAATGCAAATCAAAACCACTTTGAGATACCATCTTACACCTGTCAGAATAGCTAAAGTCAAAAACACCAACGATAGCCTATGCTGGAGAGGATGTGGGGTGAGGGGAACACTCATCCATTGTTGGTGGGAATGCAAACTCGTGCAGCCACTGTGGAAATCAGGGTGGCGGTTTCTCAGGAAACTGGGAGTCAACCTCCCTCAGGACCCAGCAATTCCTCTCTTGGGAATATACCCTAAAGATTCCCTAACATACTACAAAAGCATTTGTTCTACTATGTTCATAGCTGCACTATTTGTAATAGCCAGAACCTGGAAACAGCCTAGGTGTCCCTCAATAGAAGAATGGTTAAAAAAGGTGTGGAACATATACACATTAGAGTTTTACTCGGCGGTAAAAAAACAATGACATCTTGAATTTTGCATGCAAATGGATGGAAATAGAAAACGCTTTACTGAGTGAGGTAAGCCAGACCCAAAAAGAGGAACACGGTATGTATTCACTCATAAGTGGATTCTAACCATAATTAAAGGTCTTTGAGCCTATTATTCGTGATCCTAGAGAAGCTAAATAAGAAGATGAACCTGATGAAGATTATTTAGCTATACACCAGGAGGTAGGAAATAGACAAGAGTCCCAGGTAACCTCGGGTGCATGGGGGGGTGGGAGGGTTGATGGAAGGGGAGAGGGTTAGAGAGAAGGGAGTAGGGGAGGAATGGGGAAAGCTCGGTGGCCTGGGATGGGGGGGAGGGAGGAAGGATGAATATGGGATCAGGGAAGAATATATTTCAACTAAGGGAGTCATTTTAGGGTTTACAGGAGACTTGATTATATATGGGATCCCAGGTCCAAGGAGAGATCCCCCAGATTGTTCTCTGGACAGAGGAGAGGGTGCCTGAATCGGCCGTGGCCCATAACCATACTGATGTATATTTTGCTTATCACCATAGATCCTTCATCTGGCGAAGGACGGCGATACAGTCGGAGACCCACATTGAAGCACCGGACTGAGCCCCCCGAGGTCCAAATGAGGAGCAGAAGGAGGAAGAACATGAAAAACGAAATCAGTACTGCGAGGGATGCTATCACCCACTGATACAAGGGAATGGATCTAATGAGAGTTTACCAAGGCCAGTTGGACTGGGACTGAACGAGGACGTGATCTAACCAGATTCTCGGAATTTGGCGGGATTCTCTGAATGTGGCTGGCCCGAAGTCTTTCTGAAAAGCCATTGACTATGATACTGGGACCTGTTTCCTCTGCATATACTGGATTTTGGGGATCCAGTCTGTTTGGACACTCACCTTCCTGGACCTGGAGGGAGGGGGGAGGAACTTGAACTTCCCACAGGGCAGGAAACCCTGACTACCCTAAGGGACGAAGAGGGAGGAGGAGAGGGAGTTGGGGGAGTGGGAAGAGGGGCGGAAATGGAAACTTTTATAATTTAATAAAATTTACTTTAAAAAAAAAAAAAAGAAAGCTCAGACGTGAAAAGGCAGAATCTGGGGATCCCCTGCTGGTTTGCATCCACTTTGCTCACCCTCCTCCATGCTGGGATGATAGTGTGTCTTCTATTATAAAAGTCTTCTGGGTCACTGTTTGTTGGAAGTGTCTGACCTGCTATATTATTTTAATTTTAGATGAGAGCTACAGTTAAAAGACTGCCAAGACTCTCAGGGGAAACTTGGGGCTTGGGACCTTTAAACTTTCAAACTTTGAGACAACTATTCAAACTGTTCAGATTGTTGGAGCTGGACTGCACAAGTTTTGCGTCATGACATGGCTCTAAGGACATGGCGGCCAGGCAATAGAATGTAGTTTGAATGCAAATGGCGGCCACAGGTCCATGTGTTTCAGTGAGGGCTCCCTGTTGGAACAGGGAACTGTTTAAGGATTGGAAAGTGTGGCCCTGCTGGAGCAGGCGTTTCCAAAGACCACGCCAGGCCCAGTCTCTCTTTACAGCTGCATCCTGTGGACTGGGATCTAAAGGTATCAGCTGCTGCCCTAGCACCCTGCTCCTCTGCTTCCCATCAGGATCACCTAGAACTGTGAGCAAGTCAACTAAACGCTTTCTTTTATAAGAGGTGCCTTGGTCATGGTGTCTCTGCACAGCAACAGAATGTAATTAAGATACCACCTTCCCAGTTACAGAATTCTTCAGCTTTGGGGGCTATTGAAATGCTGTGGAGAGCTGCCTGCCTAGCAAACGGTTAAAACAATGGAGTTTCAGCTCTACTCCACTTCATCCCTCACCTTTATTTGAGACACCAGTTGGTAGCAGATCTTTGGGGGTTAGGGTGGGCAACCTCAACAACAACACCCCCAAAGCTTCCACTCCCATCTCAGAGAAGTTTCTCTACATTGTTTGCAAGGTTTACGGCAAGCCATCTTCTTTGAGGGCTCTTTTAAGAAGTCAGTATCACATTTTTCTGTCAAAGAATCAATACATAATCTTTGAGAGACTAAAGGGAAAAAAAAGAGAATCACCTATAACTCTCTTTCCAGAAACTGCTGTTTCAAGGGCCTGGGAGAGTGTTTCTATGTTTGTGTTTGCATATTTATCTACCTTTATACTCTCTGTGGGGATATTCTGCATGGTTTTTTTAAATCAATTTCTCATTTTCAGATGTGCTTTATAAGGCATTGCTGGCATCTGCCTTTGTTACATGCCAATTTCACAATGTCACACCAAAAACTTAGAGCTGATTAAACCGTGAATTAATTTCTTGTATGTTCCAGTGACGTGTCTCAAAATATCTGAGTAAGATTTCTGAGAGAGGAGACTGACTCTCGGCGGCTGTGACCTCTCTCTCACCCTCTGTTTGAGGATAAAGGGTTTAATCTTGGCAAGAGTGGTGGTGTACGACTTTAATTCCAGCACTCATAAAGTAGAGGCCAGAGGCTCTCTGCGAGTTCTCTAGTCTACATAGTGAGCTCTGAATTGCCCACAGAGGCGGCAGAACCAGTGGTGTGTGCAAGGCTGTGTAACAGGGCTGGGACTTCCGCACTCCTGATGCTGGTGTGCAGTAGACATGCCTACTGCAGCAGGACTGCTGTGATGTTTTGTCCCTTATTGCTGGTTTCCATACTTAAAATGCCTCTTCTGCTTGATCTTCAGTTGACTAAATCATGACATGGTCCTAAAGTCCTGAGGTTTTGTGGCTTGAATGAGAAATGTCATCCAGAAGGTGGTGTTGTTTGGGAAAATGATGGAACTTATACTTACCAAAGGTCCTTTCCAAACACACACACACACACACACACACACACACACACACACCTCCCTTTGTTCGACTAAAAACTTAGAATTTACGACACTTCTGTTCCTTAGGCCGCCCACGGGTTAGCTGAATGCAGTAGTCTGAGGAAGCCCTGTATTCAACGCCCTTCTGGGGTCATGTGACACCTAGGAGTGGACCAGTCTCCCCTGACCACAGGGCTCTTAGCATCAGCTGGAGCCTGCTATGTCTCTCATCAGACTGCCACAGACGACTGACCAATTTAGCATCATCATAACAGCACAGAAGTGTGGGCAAAGATTTGTTAAAAATTAAAATAAGAATTCTGTACTCTATCTTATAGATGCCAGTGGGCTAATATTTTCCCACATTGGAGGTTATAAGAGGATCTAAGGGTGCATCTGGGTGCGGCTGGCATCACAACAGTGAAGTATTTTCTTCCTTCAACGCACACTACTTTTCTGTTCCCAGCTAGCAGAAATACATATTTATTACTTATCCCCCTTCTTGAGTTTTGAAAATGTCCCAGATAGTTTTGTGACCAGGTTCCAAATCGAGAACTTTTGAGATTCAGCTTGAATCAATTCTTGCTCTAACTCTAATGCTTTAAGGAAACAGACGCAGTCTCTGCCAAAAAGTCTGCTGGGTAAAAGCAACTACGTGGATCATTCCAGAACCTTTGAGGTTGACCCCAATGGTCCTCAGCTTTCTTCTCGGAAGACAGGCCGCATCCAGTCTACCGTAACCTGAAATATTAACATACAGGGAGTCTGGCTTCTTCAGCTCCGTGAACTTGAAAGGAGGTCCGCTTTGAACCCAGCCTCCCTTGCCGTTTGAGTGCTCTCCCGCCTCGAGGCGGCTGGGACTCAGCTATCAGTTTTGATTAGCAAGATGTAAAAAGTTGCCATATGTGCTTAAGAGAAAGTCACTCTTGTCTCTGAAACCCCATTTCCCCTTTTCATTTGAAAGCAGAACCGACCCTTGTGGGCCTTGCCTTACTGTAGGGTCCCATCAAAACTCCCAAAAGGTCACTGGCATTGGGTTGGGCCAGGTTCTGCAAAGACACTACAAGAATATTAGGCATTGGTGGAGAATGGCTTACCCTGGCCTTGCAGTTTCCACTGTGCTTAAAGGCTATTTACCAGTGGGTGTAAAGATTTTCTAAAGGACTGAATGCAGACAGTGTTGTGTTTTTAAGCTTTACTGCTTAAATATAAATGACAGTCCCCAAGGAAATAGTCAAGGTCACTCAGTAAAATTCTAAAAACCCGACTGCAGGCCTTAAAACTTGAATTTCTAGAGAACATAATTTGAACTTTCTGGCATACATAGAGGATTTGTGCTGAAATTTATCCAATGGACTCCAGATATGGACAGACAGAACGTGTGTGCTGGCAGAAGAAATGGAAATAGGTATATCCAGCCCGACATTCAAGCATAAAATTCAAGTTAGAAGTAGATTATTTACTGGGAGAAAGTCACAGCAGCTTGGTGATGTCTTTCGGAGGCAATGATGGTAACTGAAGGCCCGAAGGAGGAGAGTGAACTCCTTCCAAATGACCGGCGAGTCTCTTTGTGACATAAGACATTGTGACCTCGAGAGGAGGCAGGCAAGTGTCTGTGCCTCTTATGACCTTTCTCTGGAAGACAGTGTCTGACTCCAGAGGTTGCTCCCACTGGCCTCCAGTCTCCAAAGATAAACAGAACCATAGGGTCCATGAGAGGCCTGAAGTGAATCATATGGCATCGGATACAAATGAGACATTTAAGGCGGCGTCTGAGCACCTGGAATTCCAAAGTCAAATCCACCCAGGGAGTTAACCACAAATATTGTGTCTGTCACATAACTAAGAAGAGCAATTGCTTCTACAGGTCAGCATTTCACTCATGGAAGGTAGGGCACATCTATAAACACCCTACAATTACTAAAAGAATGAAAAAGAAGCACCTACTCTTAGTGTCTGTGTACAGTACTTCACGAACACACTTAGTGTCTGTGTACAGTACTTCACTAACACACTTAGTGTCTGTGCACATACTTCACTAACACACTTAGTGTCTGTGCACAGTACTTCACTAACACACTAGTGTCTGTGCACATACTTCACTAACACACACCTCAGAGAAGTTTTCTATACTTTGGGTTTGTCCATATAATCACTCAGCATTCGATTTCAATGCCAGTGGATATGAACATCATATACTTAACATAATTTGTACATTTTTTTTATTTTTCCATTCAAAAATTTACACTTTCTCCCAATCTCCTCCCGCTCCCCCATACTCCCTCCTCCCTCTCCCACCCTGCTTGAGAGAGGGCAGGGAACCGAGCTCTATAGGAAGTCCAAGGCCCTCCCATATCACATCAGGCCTAGGAAACTGTGCATCCAAATAGACTATGGTCCCAAAAAGCCAGAACATGCTGTAAAAACAAGTCCCAGTGCCTTTATCAATGGCTTCTCAGTAAGCCCCCATTGTCAGCCTCATTTGGAGAGTCTGGTTTGATCACATGCTTGTTCAGTCCCGGTCCAGCTGGATTTGGTGAGCTCCCATTAGATCAGGCACACTGCCTCAGTGGGTGGACCAATCCCTTGCGGACCTGACTTCCTTGCTCTTCTTCTCCCTCCTTCTGCTCTTCAACTGGACCTTGGGAGCTTGTACATTTTTATACACATGTTCTATATACAGTGTTCTCTAAAATGTAACTATTTCTGAGTAGAGGCATATCTCATGAGGGATTAAACATGTAACCTATGCCCTTCCGTACACCCACCTCTGGCTGACAATTGGAGGCAGAGGTTGCTCATTCGTTTCCCGACTGCCCAGACCCAAAACTATCACAGACTCTGTATTAATTACAATACTGCTTGACTTATTAGCTTAGGTTTCTATTAACTAACTCTTACATCTTAAATTAACCCATTTCTATTATTTTATATTTTATGACGAGGCTCGTGGTAAGGATCCAGCAGGTTGGTATCTTTCTCCTTCTGCGGCTACAGACATCTTTCTGACTCCTCCTCTTTTTATCCTCTATCTGCTTAGAATTCCTGCCTTATTCTATTCTGCCCTTCTGTAGGCCAAAGCAGCTTCTTTATTCATTAACCAATAAAAGCAACACATATACAGAAGGACTTCCCACACCAGACAATGTCCCTTTAATGCCATTTTTCTCCTTTCTTTTCAGGAGAGTTCTATTGAGTCACACTCATGCTGTCTTGAGCTCACTCTGCAGCCCAGTGTACCCTGAACTTTCAATCCTCCTGTCTCAGCCTCCAGAGCATCTGAGGCTCCAGGCCTCTGCCTTAGGGCTTGGCACTGTCATTCTTTGCCAACGTCCCTTGCCTTTACTATTCCTACCAGGGACTACTTCTTGATCCCACCCTTCCGTTCAGTCACTGAGCCCCAGGCAGGCCGGACTCTAGGCCATACTGCTGACAGAGGACTGCACAGAGCCATGTTGCCTTCCCAGGGCCCACCCAGTCTTTGGTTCCTCCCAGGTGCCAAGTCCATTGGCTTCTCAACATTTCATCATTACCATCAATAACGACAATATCACAACATTCCTGTTTTCCCTACCAGTTACCCTTGCTTTTATCGACCTCAATGGAGGCCAGATTCGTAGCCGGCTTTACCCGCAACTTTAACCGCTAGTTCTCTCGGGTGACTTTGAATCTTAAAACCAATGCACTAAAATCTAGTTCCAAAAGTAGTTCAACTGTTTCATCTTTAGAGACTATTCACATAATGATTATACTACAGATATTCCTTTTGGAAATGTGATTTTTTATTTCTTATTTTTATAACACAGTATTTTTTTCCTTATCGATCTGGAGAAAATCATACAAAGTGATAGCTAGTTGTGCCTTTCCAATGAGGTACACAAATGGATGTTACAAAGGTTAAGTTTTGCTGCAAATTCTATAATGTAGCCTAAACATCTGAACAAAGAGGAGGCAGGAGAGTGCAGCTCCTTTCTCCCGAGTTAGGTTCCCATTTGTCATTTAAAGAAGTGCCTGGCTGTCCTTCAAAACCTGTTTATCCCGCTGACTTCTCTGGGCAGTGAAGTGGATCCCACAGGCTGAAGAGCCTGAGATTTACGGGGCATTCTGGGAGCTAGCTTTACTTTTTCCATGTATCCCATTTCAACGTTTTCCAATATTAGTCTTGGCAGGATGGCCGGGTCTGTCGGCATACGTTGGAAGGCTTGATGGCCATCTCAGCATAGGCTGCCCAGCGACAGCGGCTTAGATACGAATAGCAAGTCCATCAAGCCGCCTCCCCCCCTGTGCCAGGCGTAAACGATGAGGCCCATCCTGAAAACAAGCCTGGGGTTGGTGGCCCAGGGTGCTGTGGGAAGGCAGCGTGGGATGGTTTTGCTCTGTTCCCATTGCCAAGGGCATCAAGAGTGGGCCTGATGTCCTCGGGGATTTCCCGGGCAGGTTTGTAATAAACAGCTCTATTGGATTTTTCCCATGATGCAATAAGTCTCCCAACTTTCACATCTATTTTTGTTTGACAGAGACCAACTCTACTTGTGACTGGGGCCAAACCTAATCAGGAAGCAGCTGTTCGAATCATCGAATCATTCACACTCAGGTAGAAAGAACTTGGTGTTTTAAATAAAACGTAGGATTCTGTTTCTCTACACCGGCCCAGGGGAAAAAAAAGACTGGCATTTTCTTAGAAATATGTAATTTGGGTACTTAAAACCCTTAAGCAAAAATAGACAATGAAAACAGAAACTCATGTACACTAACGATAGATGTGCAAGCTGGGGGACTGGAGAATGATTGTGAGTCAAGTGTTTGTCATGCAAGAACAAGAGCATTAGTTTGGATGGAGAGACGACTCAGGGGCTAAGAGCCCTGACAGCTCTTCCAAAGGACCTGGGTTAAATTCCCAGCACCTGCATGCAATTCACACTTGCCTGTAGCTCCAGCCAAAACACGAATAAACACAAAATAAAAATAAACTATAAAAAATTAAAAAAACCAGAAAACTGTGGTGTGATAGTGCATACACCCAATCCAAGCACGGGGCATGCAGAGACAGATGATCTCTGGGTCTTCCTGGCCAGCTAGCCGAAGATCCTGTCGGTCTAGATCAACAACCTGCCAATTCTCTACAGCTGCTCTCAACCAATCAGCCTAACGAAGTCTTTAATCTAGGTACGGTTTCTTTCTCCAGGGACTTCAGTCCATAAAAACAAGCTCTTCTCAGAGTATCGGGCATAACTGTTGGGATAAACAGAATGCTGAAGGTCCTACTTACCATGCCATTCCAGAACATTCTACCCTGTTCTCAAGAATGTTCCAGTTCCAATGCAGAATGCATATTAAGAACACTTCTTAAGCATCCAGTTCAAGGTCTCCTATTCAGCGACGCCTGAAGCTCAAGTGCAGAGTCCCATTTGGTTTCAGAGGTAAACGTCCCTGGGAATGGATGAGCTGTGTGAGCTGTGTCTTCCACAAAAGGACCTTACCATAGGTTGTGGAGAGCAACCAAGAGCCTTGGCAAAAGTCTGTGATGTCTGAGGCTCATATGTGACCTCTTTGCCCAAGCCCTGAAGAGAGTGTAACCCATTCTTAGAAGTGGACGTAATATTTGGTGGCATAAGATGTTTAGTTGAGGCTTTGTCTTCCTTTACTGACTCCATTTCAAATCCTTTCATCTATGTATAGATTTTAGGATGCTTCTACAGTAATAGGTTTCCATATGGCTTTTTAAGGCCTTTAGTGGTAGCTGTCCCTCCACATCACCCCCTCTCGTTAGCACTCTCCCCCCACACCCTCCCTCTTAGTCTAGTTTCCTTTCCTTGGAAGATCGTCTCCTCCCTCCTGGTCACTTATTAGCTATCTAAATTCTCTGGTATGTGAGTTGAAGCACATCTAAAGAAACCAACACATATCTAAAACTTAAAAGCTAGCATCCACATATGAGGGAAAACATATAATCTTTGTCTTGTGAGGTCTGGGTTACATCAGTTATTTTTAGTATCATCCATCTGCCTGAAAATTTCATGATTTCAATTTTCTCAATAGCCAAATATTATTCCACTGTGTAAATGCATCACATTCTCATCATCCATTCATCCACTGACAGACAGCTAGTAGGATTCCAGTGTCTGGATAGTATGAATAGAGCAGCAATGATCATAGTTGAACATGTGTCTATGTAGAAAGATGTAGAATCTTTTGGGTATATGCCCAAGAGTGGTACAGCTGGGTCGTGAGGTAGATGAATTCCCAGTCTCCCTAGGAACCTCCACACTGAATTCCATAGTGCTAGACAAGTTTGTACTCCTACCAGCAATAGATGAATGTTCCCCTTACTCCATAGCCTTGACTACATGAGCTTGGCCATTCTGACTTGGGTAAGAGGAAATCTCAACGTAGTTTTAACCTGAATTTCCATGATGACTAAGGATACTGAACCTTTCTTTAAGAGTTTCTCGCCCATTTGTGTTTCATCTTTTGGGAAATCTGTTTAATTCTATGTCTGTCTTTAAATTGGGTGGTTTGTTTGTTGTTTGTTTGTTTGTGACATTGTTTTCTTAATTTTTTTATATTCTTGATACTAAATCAGATGGATAATTGGTAAAGACCTTTTCCCATTCTGCAGGCTGCCACTTTGCTTGAACGATGTCCTTTACTGTACAGAGAGTTTTAACTTCATGGGGTCCTATTTATTGTCTTAGCACCTGTGCTATTGGTATCCTGTTGAGAAAATCTTTTTTCATGCCAATGAGTTCAACCCTCTTCCATACTGTCTTTCTTATCAGGTTCAGTGCATCTGAACATAATTTGAGGTCTTCAATTCATTCATAATTGAGTTTTCTGCAGAATAGTAAATATGGGGCCATTTTCTTTCTTCTACATGTAGATATCCAGTTTGATTAGTACCATTGGTTGAAGATTCTGTCTTTTTAGTATGTCTTTTTGGCTTCTTATCAAAAATAAGATGTCTATAGGTGTGTAGAATTATGTCGGTGTCTTCAATTCTATTTTGTTAACCAACGTGTCTGTGTTTATCCCAACACATTGTTCTTATATAACTTTAAATTTGGGGTGACTATAACTCCAGCAATTCTTTTATTATTTAGCATTGTTTTAGATATCCTGAATTTTCTGTGTTTCCATATAAAGTTGAAGATTATTTTTTTTTCAATTTCTGTAAAGCATTGTGTTGTAATTTTGATAGTGGAGTTGAATCAAATTCTGTAGATTGCTTTTTGTAGATGGTAATTTTCATTATATTAATTCTACCAATCCATGAGCATAGGGGAATTCCTTCATCTTGTGGTATCTTCTTCAATCAATGTCCTAAAGGTAGGTAGGTAGGTAGGTAGGTAGGTAGGTAGGTAGGTAGGTAGG